CCAACATATCCATGGACGGCAGCGGAGATGAAGCCGAGCTGGAGCTCCTTTTCCCGGTGTCTTTCTCCACCCGCGCGCCTGTTCACGTTACCGCCGCTACCGGGAGTCCCACTCTCACCAACACCATAACCACCACCATGATCCGTCTGAAGGACTACGTCCTGACCCGAGTAGTGGACTTCCTGCAGGAGAACATGCTCATCATCATCGTGGTGACCTCTCTTCTCATTGTCATGGTCTTCATCATCTGCTGTGCCTCTGCAATGAGTCACAAGCGCAAGCTGGAGGCATATAAGCCCCTACCTCATCCACCCAGGAAGTATACGGCCGATAAAGCCGGAGGACGCAAGGATTCAAGTGACCTGCAGGAGAAACCGTACGCCGTCGATCACGTCAAGAGGGTCCAGACTCAGAGCATGTCCTCCCCGAAGAACCTGCGGATGCCCTCCAAGGCGCTGGTGGGAGAGAGAGGGAGAGACGTCCGGTCATCACCTCGACAGGAGGTCAGAAAGGTCAGAGATACAGAGGCAGTGGAAAAGCGGAGAGAGGAACCAAAACACAAAGAGAAGGTGAAGCACAGGGAGGAGGTTCAGCAGAGCTCCAGTCCCAGCACCAGCTCCAGCTCTAGCTCCAGTCAGCCAGTCTGCACCTGCCATCTGAAAAAAGGCCACCACTAGGTCACAGTGGTGGGCTTTTTCTCGCTTTTTAAACAAGATCAGAAACGGGCAAAGGCAAAATGGGTCCTCAAAATGTGTTTTCATTAGAATAGCCTTACAGAGGGAAATAGGTCTATATTTAAGTGAAGTCATGCCTCATGAAGAAAAATTACCCATCATTAAAGTCTAAGATCTAGATTTAAATATACAGTGAAGAGGATTATTACCCAAATCACTGGTTACTGAAAAGATTACAAATGGTACAGCTCAAATTGTTTGATTGATAAGCAGGCACGAGGAAAGATAGCAGCATACCGAGACCCTTTTAACGGCCACTTTGTCTTCATGTGCCGAAAACAACTTTAACTCGGCACGGCAAGCACAGGATTTTTCTTTTTCCTGTAATTACTGAAAAAAACATAACACCACTGTGCTACTGAGGCAGTAAAACTTTATATAATAAGTATTATTTTCCTGTGAATAACACTTTCAAAGGGAACTAAAATAAAGTATTATTCCACATACCTGTCCAAAGGAATCTCCTCATTATGTCCTGCTGGAGTGAAAACATCTGGATCCGTCATTTAGAGCAACACGTTCGGTGCTGTAAATAAGTCAAAGTGAAATGTCAGTAAACTTGACGTGATAAGTAGCAAAACTTTCTCTTTATATTTACAGTTATATTTACTTCATTTTGTTTGCATCGGGTTGTTAAGTTTCACATGATATCATATTTTATTTTAAAAACCTTTTAACTGTGTTATTTTTAGGTATCTGAACAAAGGCTGTATAAATTACCACAAATCTACTATGTGTACTGCATGTCATGGTAAAAAGAGATCACAGTGTGTTTCAGTTCTAAGGTTTCACGTATCAGGACATATTAAAGAATGATCAGGTCTTAAATTGAAAAACTGCAGACCAAAATGCAGAAGCAGAGTGTGAAACATTAAGTACGCTCCTTTAGCGGCGATAATCTGAAGTCATTGTTTTCTGAATGACTTTACGAGTCTCGCGCGTCGTTGTGGAGGAAGTTTGGTCCATTCTTCTTTGCTGCAGTGGTTCAGTTCATTGAGGTTTGCGGGTATTTGGCCTGCAGCATTACAATCGAGCTGAGATCTGAAATTTGGCTGAACCATTGCAACAATCATTCTGTTGTAGATTCGATGTTGTGTTTGGGATCATTGTCCTGATGTATAACCAAATTTAGGCCAAGCGTAAGCTGTCAGACAGATGGTCTCACATTAGACTCAACAATACTTTGGTATGCAGAGGAGTTCATGGTGGACACAGTGGCTGCAACCAACGTGCTTGACAGCTGTTATGAAGTGTTTGTGCTGATGTGCTGTGTTCAGTTTTCCCTAAACATGGCGCCGTGCACAGTGACCACACATGTCTGCTTTGGTCTTGTGGTTTAATCAGATGTAACTTAAACCTAAGCATCTCTACTGGCAACCCTTCCAAATAAGCCACATTTGTTAAGTCTTTTCTTTGATAATTGTTTTGTCATGAACTTTAACATTTAACATGCTAACTGAGGCCTGCACAGTCTGAGCTGTAGATCTTAGGGGCGTGGACCTTGTGGTGAATTTGCTGGGACATTTTCCACTTGTGAATTATATTTCTCACTGTAGAGTGATGGAGTTCAGTTTGTTTGGAAATGACCTTATGACCTTTCCCACACTGATGACTATTGCTGATGTCTTTCATCCTCAGCATTGTGTCAACACACCTGAATACCACAGACCTACAAACCTCTGATTTTATAAAGGTGCTCACACCTGCCAATGATTAGTTAATCAATGATTAGTTAATCAAATGATTAGTTAATCAATGATTAGTTAATCAAATGCATTTGGTCAGCAGTACCTGGCTGTTAGTTACCCCCTTACTTCATAATGGAAGGGTGGACTTAGTTTCCACACAATGCTTCTGCGTTTCAGCTTAGTCTTTGTTAAATCAATGACATGTCGTAATATGTCACAGGATGCTGTTCTGAACTGTCTTGAACTGAAAGAGGGTGCACTTTCTTTGTACGATGACTGTACATATTTATTCGGCTAATACCTTTGACCTGCTCTCAATGGGCAAATGTATAAAAAAGTAGGCAGTAGAAAACAAATGTTTAAGTTTTCCTTTTAAATAGTTAGTGCATTTATGTATACGATAAATTATGCTTTTTTTTTTTTAAGTGTAAACGTTTGAAATGTGAGTAGAAGGACAGACAGTTGGCATGTTTAGCTTACGTGTATAGGCTTGACAGATGCATATTTGTCTCTCTTGTCTGATTTTCTTTGATTAAATTACTCTGTCCTGTTGTTAAGTTAATGACCTTGAGCATCTAATCTAAGCCTGAATTATGTGCCGATGCTTTTGTCATGCTGACATACTGTTTTCCGCCCAACCTCAGCCACAGTTGCTTTCTTTTTTGACACTTGAATTGTTTACAAAAAGACCGTTTTGTTTTGCTTATATTTAATAAAGCTATCAAAAAAGATGTCTCTGAGTGCTGTAAATGTAGCAGCGTACATGGCTGAAGCTACGCCAAATGAAGCACAGATACAACCCTGTGGAAACCTACAATTAGAAAAGGCGAGGAAGGTCTCGGAAAAACAAGAGGACAATCTCAACGTGCACATTATGTTCCACTTGGGAATCTGTAATTTTGACCTGCGTCCACACAGAAATCACTGGTAACTATTTTAAGGTAATTACCGAAATGCCAGATCTGTGATATCTGCTCTGTGATGATATAGGCTGTCTTCTCTTTTAACAGTTCAAACCCCTGATCTGCAAAAGAAAAAAAAAACACTGCCAGAGCTTTCTGATTGGCCGGGATGAAGCCGCTGGCACCATCACCTCGCAGGACTGCAGAAGAAGGTACTCGAGCCTGGAGATGACGAGAGCCCCCTTTGTCCTTTGCTGGCAACTGTACAGAATTGTTTAATATTTCAATAGCAGTAATCCAGATACATACGGACCCTTTGGCACAAAACAGGAGCTCATGTATTGTTTATACAAATCCTGGGGACCCTGATTTGTTCCCATTAGAATTATGATAAAAAAGTCGAATCCCTTTTGTTCCATATTTTGAGCAAGTAATGAAATATTGATGCTGTATGAACAGTGCAACTCTTTCAGTTGTGTATTTTAATATATCTTATTTCCAGTGTGACATGGATAAATCATGATGCCATCTGAAATCTGTTTAAAAAAAATGTAGAAAATTCATAAGAATGTTTTTTGAATCCTCAAACATAAAACTCCTTTCAGGTCTTAAGTAGGTCAAACTGCCAAAGATCAAACAGGACATGATAGCGCACCAGCTGAAAAGCAAGTGTAACCATGTGGTGGCTGAAACGTGAGCCCAGACAGAGCCTTACACCGGGCTCAGATTCCCTGCTCTTTTATCAATGAGGTGCTAAATAATTCGAGAAAATGCTAGCCCCTTACTTTCACTCTTCCTTCCAGAAAGATGCAAACCTTGTAGCACATCTTCACTAAAGTCACTAATAACCTCCACCTTAGCTGGGCTCCAACAGGAGAATATTTAGGACATCCTTTTTTTCATACCATTTTTTTTTTCTGAATGTCTTTTGTATTTTCAGCTTGTTCATCATAAAACAGCTGACAAACAAAAGGACTTCTTGGTCAGTTCGGATGGAGAAGATGATCAAGAACAGGTAATAGAGCTCCTTAAGGCTGTCATTAAACTTTGATGAGCATCTGCCTGGAATTATCAGTAACGTCGGTTATCTTTAGAGGGACAGTCGATCACGTAGGGAGCATGGGAAAGCACCCCTGCCTGTCTCTTTGGAGGAGCAGATAATACACAGAAAGAAGAATGGTAAGTGAGGCAGCTTTCACTCTTTGGCATCACTTTATAACAAGTCACACCTTATCATGGGGTTTTAAGACGTAAGAAGTGGCTTTATAAATAGTTTTGGCAATTCCATGAATGGGTTTTACACTCTGCAGCTCTTTTCCATAAGGTCATTATATGTACCAGAGTGTGCTGGTGGAGTACTGGTATTAATAAATGGTTCATTAACCTTTAATAAAGCTGCTTTTGGCTGTTTCCTTATCCACACGGGATTACCACAGCAGGTGGCTCCACGTGTTTGTTTTGGCAGAGTTTCTATGTCAGATGCACTTCCTGATGCAGCCCCAGTGGAATTTGTCTGTCCTTCCTGGATCAAACCAGGGATCTTTCAGCTGCTTATTAACCGTTAATTAAGCCATATTATAACATTATACCCCTTCCTTTATAGAACTTTTAGAAGAACCATATCCTCTAAATTCATCTAACTTCTCGTCTTTCCTGCATTATTCTTGCAGTGAGTCATGCTTTGGTGCAGATGTGGTGTCCTGCTGGCTCTCTGCATCTGTCCTCTAGCCTGCCTTGCAGTGTCTCCCTGTCCTACTGGGTGCTGCTGCCCAGGATTTCTGGTTCTATGTGAGTCACTAGGCCTGAGGTCACTCCCTCGCTCGGTTCCTCTCAGTACCTCGGCTCTATCTGTGGCCAGAAACCAGCTCTGTAATGTGGACCACCAGCTCTGGCCCTTCTCTGGCCTCCAGGAGCTCAGCCTCAGTCACAATCTGCTAGCCCGCTTCCCTCGTGGCCTGCCTCCCAGCCTGGAGTCCCTGCAGCTGCAAGAAAACCGCATTACTTACATCACCTCAGGTGTCCTGAGGCAGCTGGGAAACCTCACTCACCTGGACTTAGAGGACAACCGTATTCGTGCCATCCAGCCCGGGGCACTTCAGGGTCTCCATAAGCTGCAGGTCCTGACGCTGAAGGGGAACAGGCTTACCAGTCTCCCCATGAGTCTTCCACCATCACTGACCCACTTAGATCTTTCAGAAAACTGCATCTCTGCCTTGGACCTGCCCTCACTGTCTGCCCTGGTCAACCTGCAGGTCCTGAAGATCAACAGCAACTGCCTGCGGTCAGTCCCAGAGAGCGCCTTTGACAGCCTGCCACGTCTCAGATCTGTGGACCTCACCAACAACCTGTGGGTGTGCGAGTGTGACATTCTGTATCTGTACCGCTGGCTGCTGAGCGGTAGGCTTAAGATGGCCACAGACATTGTGTGCACAGAGCCTGATCATCTCGCCCACCGTCTGCTTCTGAATCTCTCTGTCGTGGCCATCTGTCCTCGTGTCCTGAAGCCAAATGACAGGACACACGAACGTGACCTCAGCTCTGCACAGGCGAGGATGCTAACAGCGCAGCCAGCAGAGAAAATATCAAAACTAACCACTAATGGACTGCTTTCTGAAGCTCTAAACAGTAATCAAGACTCTTCCAAGACGCGTGTCTTGCACTACTCTTTAGAGACTCTTACCTATGAGGAGTGCTTATCCCTAAATAACAGTCAGTCAGTCAGCCCCTTCCATTTAAAGACTACTACTTCTCTCCCTGAGGAGGAACAGAGTTGCAGAGACAACATTACAGCTCGATACCCTCAGAGTAACGTAACCCTTGCTGAGGGGACACAGTTCTTGCTTTCCACACATAGAGATGCACTCGTGCCCACTCTCGTCCCACAGCTGTTCACTCAGCAGGCCTCTGCAGCGATAGTCTCTCTGCTCGTTGTGCTGTGTGTGTTAGTGGCTCTCGTAATGCTGGCAGTGCTGCTCGTGCTGAAAAAGGTGCTTGTGCGTCAGCAGAGGGTGGCTCCTGCTGATTCAGGATCAGCAGGATGACATTTACACACACACAGACACTGAAGTCTTTTAATCTGTTTATTCACAGTAAGCAAAGCACCTCATACAAATTTTCTGAACTTTTTTTTGTATGTAAACTTTAACTGTTGACATTCTCATACCAAGTCTTTCATCTGGGACCTACATTGTCTCACAAGTGAGCCAGAAAGAGCCTCAAAGCCAAAAAAAAATAAAACTACAAACCCACATCCCTGCTTCATTAAAGATGTCTTTAATGCTCTGTGTATTAAAGTGTTAAGCTTCACCATGAACCCATTGTTAATTAAACAATTCTGATTGTGTGATAAAAGCAAAGAATCCATAAACGCTATTAACACTTGAACAATATGGGACCCACACCTGTGGAGAATTCCCCAATGGATGCAAGATCTGATGCGATGTGATTACAGCGACCCGTCTGCACTGCTCTGGCACTAGGAGAGGCACGATATCCAACAATAGGATACATCTATTATTATAGTCAGTGAATAAAAACATTAATTGCTGGCTTTAACATGTTCCTCCTTGTCCTGTTGCTTTAGCCGGTAGTCTGACAGTGCTGCTTTTATGGCATCTTCTGCAAGCACTGACAAAAAAAGCAGATTTTAGAGCCACTATGAGCATAATTTGGAAAACAAAAAGCATTCAGTTCATGATAACTGGGTGATTTGATTTCATATCATCATTATGTAGGTGTGATTAATACAGTCATTCATTCTTCCATAGAGACGGGTTACACCATGAAGAGCTCGCCAATCTGTTGCATGGCTAAGACATAGAAACAGAGCTATTCACACCATCATCAGTTAACCTATAGATGTGGTCAGAAGTTTACACTTATCGTGGGGAGGACTGACATAGTATTAGGGGACTTTTAATGATTTCTTTGAACTGTTCTTCTGAATTTATTATGGACTTTCTCTGATTCTCACACAGGGTTAAAAGTATACACACGGGGTCTGGTAACTGTGTTTTTGTCAAAGTCTGGAAGAAGACCCAAACTGTCACCGTTAGATGAGAGTAAATTGGTTTAGATGTTCAGAAACAACTCAGGAACTGCTGAGGCTCAAGCCTGCTATGAACTCATCAAGCCATTAAAGATGTATCCTGTACAATCATTCCACCCCGGAAATACAACAGTTCAAAGAAACCATTAAAAGACCCAAATTACCATGAGATTCATGCCAATGATGAGTGAATGTAAACATCTGACCACAACTGTAACGTGTGTTTGGACTGTGGAAGGAAACCAGAGTACCCAGAGCGAGCCCACACTGTTGAGAGATATATTTATTGCACAGCAAACACCTGATCTGAAAGCATAAATGTATGTGCTTTCAAACAGAGCAAGAGAAAGAATTTG